ACCAAAAACTGCAAAATTTCCTTAAAATTACCAATTCAAGGGGCAGCAACCCAACAACGGGTTGTCTGATTCGTCTGAAAATTTCAGGACAGATTGATCTTAACCTGATGAATATGTTTACCGCTTGTCATTTGCTCTTAGTGCTTTAGTCATGTTAGTTTAAACTTTCATGGCTTCGTTGTTGGACTTCTTTTGTTTAGCTACACCCGAAGTAGTCAGAATTTCATCTGCCTCTTCCATTTTTCTCTTAGAAGATGTGTCGCTAAAGCGAAACAAACTTTTGGTTTAGCAACGTTGACAACCACATGCGTTAATATGACGAACGCGGACCTCGACAAAAAGCATCCATAAAAATTGTTATCTGACACGCTGTACTATTAATGAACCATGAAGTAGATCACTAAGATAAAAATAAATTTCAGCACACCCCTGAAATATCATAGAATTGGTCAGTTGTCATTTCGATTCTGTATGAAATTGTTCATGACACACTTTTACCGTAGTTTCATAAAGAAAACGTTATTGACAGACAGACAGACGAAAACCATAATGAACCTAAAGGCTATTCAAACACATTGTTTTTCTTGAATTCCTTTAAAAATGTTAAATTCAGACGTATTTCGTCTTTGCCTGCCCTCACTTTGAATATCTATATAGAATAACAAAACAGGCGGCCATTTTAACTGTATGTGCTTCTACTGTGTATATTCCTCGGAAGAGTTGGAGCACATCGAATACAAGAAAGATAACTCAATTATAATGTTTCCTAGTATTGAAATACATCTGGGAACAGTATATCTAACGGGAAATGAATCTGATACGCTTTTCAGTATAAATTGATAAAATCTCGGACTCCCCGAGACTTCCCGAGATTTACGGATTTTGGTAGCGTCTGACTGAAAAACTACCAGAACTGCTCAACAAATAAACCACATAACTCTAATTGTAAATAAATACAAGTTTTATCATTTAGTAGATATATTTTGTCATATAAAATTACCAAAATAAGTTTGATTTATTTGATGTGAAGTGTTTTATAATAGTTTGGGAATTTGTAAATCATCACGGCAATGGCCGCCATTTTTTTATTACCTGGTTTGCATTCTGCCCAATTCTGTGATAAAATGCTTGCGATTTTAACAAATTTGAAGTGAAAGAATACAAGTTTGATACACTAGCATCACTTTAAAACTAATTTGAATGACATTTTATTGATAATATCAGAAATTATTAGGATAATAGCAAGTCCGTTTTTAACACATATCCGTTTCTGTATTGTATCTTTATTAACTATGGCACGACGATAAAATCGACTACAATCAGGTAGTGTCAAGTCCCGTCAATATATATGTTCCTGAATACATGTACCTACTCAGTGTTCTCCCCAGAAATTTTTTAAGGCGCAAAATTTCAAGGGCGCGTAACTCTATTTCAGAGTGAACTATTGTGACCTGAAGCAATCGGTCATAAATCATTACATGCAATAATGCACAGTATTAATAAACATGATAAAGAATAAGAATATATATATGAAATAAATTCATTTTAAACACAAAAAGCATTTATATCACAGTCAATTAAATAAGTCAAAATGTATATATAGTTCAAGAAAAATCCTCATGTTCTTCTGGGCATTCCATTTCTGGACAGCTTCAGAAATATTTATTTCTTTACTCTATGTTCCTTCTAGAGATATAGTAACAAGACAGTTTGTAATTTTGTTGGACAGCCTGTTCCTCAGTCTTTATACTCTTTAGGTTTGAAAACATCACCTGCCTTTCGCTTAACCCATTTTTTCTTTGCAAAGAACATTTTGACTTATTCAGCATTAAAATTGATTATGTTTAAGATGTTTGGAATACAACTTTTTAAAACAAAAAAATTGTAATGCACCAGCTGACCACTTTCCGTAGTTTGACATTACGCTTACGAGTGTATAATTGTCAAAACGTTTCTTTTGTCAGGTAATGTTAGGTATAAACGAAACTTGACAAATTCGTCAAAGTTAAAACCAGTGAAATTCCTTTACTAGTGACATTATACAAATGCGAATGCTGCAGCGATTCCGTACATATACATGTATTTCCTGATGCCGATGGACAAATTAACGATTGATGTTAAAAAAATTATTTTATTTCTAAAACGTGACAGTTGACAGACGAATTTTACTTACAAGCAACAATTTTTCACTTTCTAATAAAATAAATCACTCCTTGTTAATATCTTTAATAAAAGTTTTTTTTACTTTTTTGACGTACAAATACGCTCATTCATAAATTTCATCATAACTTTCTTTAGTAACGTGTATTCAAATTTATCACGTGTATTTGTCATGTTCATTAGTCGTGTTTAAATAGACCATTCTTCTCTTTTATTGGCACTACCGGACCACAGCGTCATATCGGCCTGGGGAGTACTCATGATCCGTCTGTTTAGGTCTTTTGAGTTATGGTCATTGGTGCAAATTAGGGTGTTAGGGGAGGGGGCTTGGGTCATCATGAAAACCCGTAAGACGAGGATTCTTAATAGCACAAAAACCCACGAGACGAGGACTCTTAATAGGTTTTTGTGCTATTAAGAATGCATCTTGACGTCACAATTTCCATTGAAAAAGCATGCATAGTACGAGTTCATATGACGTACGAAAACATATCTGACCATACTGTAAAAATATTATAGTAAATATAGAGCAAGTGCTGGCGCGATTATCGTCTTAAAGAAATTAGTCCGAGATTACTCTGACGTCCAACGGCTGTTTTGCCAGACAAGCTGGGGCCGTGGGACGTCAGAGCTCGTCCCATATCAAAAAGTGGATATTTGCCCGTCCAAAATAGATGCGCTGCTTCGTCGCTTCTGGTGCCGTAGGACGGCCTTGGAATTATATAAATCGGGTATCAAAATGCCAGAATTGGTGGGTCACTGTGAAAACTGTCTAAATATGAGAAAATAAAGGGTGGCAGGTAGGTAAAACTTACATAAATGAAGAGATAAATGAAAAATGAACAAATTGATACCCGATTCATATAATTCCAAGGCCGTACTTTGGCACTAGAAGCGACGAAGCAGCGCATCGATTTTGGACGGGCAAATATCCACTTTTTGATATGGGACGAGCTCTGACGTCCCATGGCCCTAGCTTGTCTGGCAAAACAGCCGTTGGACGTCAGAGTAATCTCGGACTAAAAGAAATGCACTATGAAATAACTGTGTTGGGCAGGGACTTTCTATACTAAGTCCCTGTCTTGGACCAGTAAAAAACTTCATCAGTCATGATCACCCTAACACCCTTATGGGGAGACAACTCATATAAATGTAGTCTTGATATGAAAACTTCTCGCACATGTTGTGCCTATCTTAGTATCTCTGGTCATATACTGGTAAATCATGATATTTTCAAAATGCACGCCTTACTTTGTTTGTGTAGTCACAACATCTTGGATATATTTTTGAGTGTGTTTCACCAAAACACGTCTGTTTTTGCCATTTGTTACAGGAAACATAATTTGAAAGGGCGGGAAACTAATGCATATAATATTCAACTCGTTTCAGGACTTGTTTCCGGGTTTTTTTATGATGAGTAAAGGTTGTGGTCACAGTGGCGGATGCAGGGCAACGGTTTAGATGAGTTAGTTAGCTCCGCTAACAGCTAATCTTCAAAAACAAATAAAAGAATGTAAAAATTATTGTTACATTGGAGACTAATTACCGGAATGCAGGGTTGGGTAAGGAACCGATTAATTACGAATGTAACAATAATATTTGGGTCTACGGTTACATTGCGTTATTGTTACATTAAAGACTGCAATGCATAGGCGGATCCGTGAATTCTTATCTGGAGCTCTGTTTTACATTCAACTAGATATGTTTCAATTCACCAAAAAATTTTATCAAGCTGAACATATCAAGTCCAGGAAAAAATCTGAACAAATGGAGTATTTCATTTCACTCCATGGACCGCAAACTGCAATTGTAATACAAGACTGGTAGCATAAGGTACCATATGAAGGCAGACAACAATATAATATAAAGATGTCATAGACATGCACGTCATAACCACTTTTATTATTAATCCTAGTTTGTCTGACTTAAAATATGATTGTTCTCTGTTTGATCCCGGATTATATTACTATCTTTCATTAATTTGGAAATTTGTTGATGATGCAGGATATTTTTCGGAATATTAATAATTGCAGATAAACCGGGATAGTCTCTACTACTACTTTTTATCAGTAACTGCTGTGGATAATAAACATGATAAACTAGCAATTGATAACAATGTGTAAACAAATGATGTAGTATATTAATGTAAATAAAAAATAGAAGCTTTCGAAAATAATCGAAACTAAAAAAAACACAAGAAATAACGAATTTTGGAAGGGGGGGGGGGGGAGGAGGGGGGCAAAAAATGTTCTGTCCCCAAATACATATGATAAGATTAATGACATACAACACTCAGGTTGCTGATTTTCTAAACATATTTACTAAGCTTACTATGTTGTTTCTGTGTTGTTTACCTTATTTTAATCATTTTTATTTAACAAACTTTTTTTTTTCATTCCTTACTCTCAGAAAGAGACGAATGATTTGTGTCCAAAGTTTTGATCAGTTTTACTTGTTGCGTAATGCAGGTGTTTTGTCATGCAAAAAAAGTTTATAATTTCTGTCTATGCGACTTGACTGGATCATTTAAATATTATAATCAATGATGCTTGTGCATGTAAAATGAATAAGGAAGATATGTTTACTTCTTTGTTAGATGGACCTTTAAAGATATGTACCTATGTTAGCTACTTTATAGCTATTTTTGGCCAAACAAATCATTTAACGGGACGGTAACCAAAGACGACTTCAAAACCTGTTGGGACTAGTTTATAAACCGGTTATATATTTTAAGCAAATAACTAATAAGTGCATCTCACAAATAAGCTTGTATTATAAAGTTCAGTTTTTTTTATTTTGTTTACAATGTGTTGAATTAAATCATTTTGAAAAATACTTACTTGATAAGTTGTCCTACTGGCCAATTAGTCTTGGCAGTTGTCTTCGATAATAAATAGGATTTTTTTTTGTATACCAAGGAGAGAGATATGGTGACAAGGACGTAGGCCCTAACAACCAGGTACATGTAGCAATGTTCAACTATTAAAAGACAGTTGGCCAAAAGAGTATGCTTAATTACTTGTTGCAAATACCATATACAATACAATATTTTTTATATAATTTCCGTATTAGGTCCCCATACATAGGACAGGGGGAAATGTTAAACCTACGATACCTTTCACTAGGGACGGGTCTAGGACTTTTGAAAAGGGGGTTGGCCAGAGGAGCACATTAAAAAACCCAGGGGATCCGGCTGTCATTAATCTGAAAAAAAATGTACTCAAAAACTAAAAAAAAAAACCTTTTACGCCCAAAAGATCATCAAAAAGAGGAGAATGCTTGTTACAAATACTTTATACAATGCAGCATGTTTACTGAATAATTTTTGAATGAGGCCCTCAAAGAGGGCATAAACGTGTAACATATGATACTTTCACCGTAAAGGTGGATCAAGGACTTTGGAAAAGGGAGTGGTCCAAGAGGGGCACATTATAAAAACCAGGGAACCCGGCAGTCAAAAGCAGAAAATGCACTAAAACACAATTTTCGGCCATAAGGTGTTTCCCTGAGACCCATGTTTACGAACCTACAATATTATATTCTTCTCATACATATCATATATTATTAATGTACCACATTATAAAAACCAGGGGACCAGCAGGTGAGAAACTGAAAATGCACTAAAATACAATTTTCGGCCACAAGGTGCTTCCCGGCTGATACGCCCATGTTTACGAATCTACAATATTATATTTTTATCATAAAGATCATAAATTACTAATGTAACACATAAATATAGATTAAACGGTACTTAAATTGCTGTCTGAATAAGGAATATAACAGAAATAAATTAAAATTACCTTTTAAATTTAAAAAAAAAGTTGTCCGCTTGGTTAAGAGGAATTTCCACTTTCGTTTCATATAAAATCACAGAGATATAGCCGATTGTCACCACGTCATTTTTACATACGGGTATTTAATATGAATATGTGTTTATTGACCCAATTCAGAGATCGAGGGCATGATTAAAAAGCATATATCAATATCTCTCGTATATTATATCTTTATAATTTTTACATTTTTACACGTCACTATAATAAATGATTTACTTACTTACTTATAAAAGTAGAGATTATGGATACATAGTTTATTAAATCCTGTAGCCATGAATTTCAAAAAAAAAGGGGTCTGCTTTAATTATGTATATATTCAACACTTTCTGCAATAAAATCTCTTGTGTTATAACCACCACTCATAGTGTATGCGAAGTAAACATTATTGCACATAATGCTGTGTCATTGCTAAAAACACCTCAAGGGTTGACCATGTTGAGGGGCCTGATGGGGGGGGGGGGGGGGGGTCTCATCACGATTCACAGAAAATAAATCTGTAGAAAAACGGATCACGATAGCGAAAATGCGCCGATCACGAAGAACGAAAATAACCCACCAGGCCCCTCCATGTTGACTGGGGTATAGATATATGGACACGTGGACTTCGCCTGTTCCGGTAGAAACTTGAACCCTTGCTGAAGTGAAGCGACCGTATGTATAATTACACAGCCACATCCGGACGGAATTGGGATGTTCAATTCGATGCCTCGTGTAGAGAAAGCAAAATGGATCTCTGCACATTGAATAACCCTTGAAGCAACTTCTTAAGGGGTCCGTATGTGACCTGTTGCATGACTTAAATTCTGCCCAACCAGTGGCGGATCCAGGGGGAGATCCGTTGGTTGGAACCCCCCTTTGTTGGACGATCAATGCATTTGAATGGGGACATATATTTGTAACCCCCTCCCTTTCTCCTGGGTTGGAACCCCCCTTCTAAAAATGGCTCGATCCGCCCCTACCAACATATGTATTTTTGAAAGAAAAAATATTCGGATTCCAAAGGGAAGAAACATAAATAATCTGTAGCAGCATTGGCCAAAAATAAATATTATGAAAAAATATTCTTCTTTAGGTGTATTAGTATTCGTTTTAAATTGAATCCAAGAGTTGCTTGAAAAATCCTAAGCAATAAAAGAAATATTTTAGACCCATATATACATATTTGACTTGGCTTGCTTTATTCTGAACTTAAACGATGTTCTTTGGTTTTTCAGTCCACATTTGACCTTTTGATAATTAATCATCTATTGGTATTTAAGTCTAACTTCTACATAATTTTCTACCCAATCCGAGAAAAAATGACACTGGGATCTCCATACATTTGATAGACCACAATTATCAAAAATACTTTTAAAAAATTTCAACTATTTGCTTTCAAAGCCATGCCGATTATCAATATATACAACAGAAATTTATGAAAAATTAAAGAGAACTTTCCCCCTTCACCATTTATTAATCTGCATCAGAATTTTATTATTCGTATTTCAACTGTGAGTGAAATCCGAAATCGTCCGAGTTCTTAATAAATAATGCTATTTGGTGTTGTCTGCTTTAAGTTTAATATGATCTTGCAAAATCGCAAATGTAATTTGGTAATATATCTAGATTTTCAAAACTCCAGACCTCTGACCTAGAGTAAAACTGGTAAAATGGCTTCATCAAACATAACTTATTGACATTCAATTGATAAATTATGTTTTCGACAATACTTTGCTTCTGTTCCCTGATCTAATAATATTTTTAGCTGTTAATAAAAGTTCCAATGTCCCCCGCCCCGCGTTGCACATATTTTATATGTTCTGTCCAAGGACAATAACTAAAAAAAATGATTTTTTAAACTTTTTAAAATGATCTTACTAGAGAGCAATTTCCGATATATTTAATATTACCAAGGGAAACTCATTAAACATATTTGATCAAGACTTATTTTTGAAATTATCTAAGACATTGCTGTTATGTACCTTTGATATGAATTTGATAACATAATCTGACAAAATTTGTACATGCGAGAATACTTACAATGCAATTTTTCATAAAATCAATGTTTCCAAGGGGCATAACTCTTTTAAAAGTAATTGATCGGCATTGATTTTCGAACTCGTTAAAGACATTGCTGATGTAAGCCTAACCTATGATATAAGTTTCATAAAAGTCTGACAAGAATTGTACAATTAAGAGCGCTAATGATGCAATTTTCCTTATAAGTAATGTTTCCAAGGGGCATAACTCTTTTGAAAATAATTGACCGGCACTGATTTTCGAACTCGCCTAAGACATTGCTAATATAAACCTATGATATAAGTTTCATAAAAATCTGACAAGAATTGTACAAAAAAGAGCGCTAATGATACAATTTTCTTTATAAGTAATGTTTCCAAGGGGCATACCTCTTTTGAAAATAATTAATCGGCACTGATTTTCGAACTCGTCCAAGACATTACTTCTATAAACCTATGATATAATTTCATAAAAATCCGACAAGAATTGTATACGTGAGAGCGCTAACAAGACCAGACGGACGAACGGATGCCTGGTATATCTATGTACTCCCGCATCGCATTGCGCGGGGGGCAAAAAGATCTGCTTCTAGCAAAAAATGCACTAAGATACTTGTAACAATTTCAATCTTTTTTTATTACAAAATAGAATTTATCTACCTCTACGTCTGCATACAAACCAATAGAATTTTAAGAGAAACCATTAACTCATTTCCTATATCGCAACTGATAGATTCTACACCTTATATATCATTTTCTTCTAAATATGATTGAAGATCATTAAGATACAATTAAAATAGAACAGGAGATAGATTTTCTCCTTGTCTAACTCCTAGTTCACATTTATATAAAAAAAAACCTGAACATTCATCATTATGTCTGATATATGATTTAATCCCTTCATACATATTTTGTATAATGAGTAAAAATCTACCATTTATATTATTTTGTAAAAGTTTACAAACTAACGAATTTTTATAAAGTCAAGCGCCTTCTCTTAATCCACAAATGCACAATGAAGTTTTTTTCTTTTTAAAAGGCAATAGCTCAAATAAAGCACACAGAGAAAAAATGTGATCATTTGTAGATTACCACTTCTAAAACAGCTTGGTAATAACAAGTATTCATCAAGATAAACTGTTAATGTTATAGTTATCCCATGGTGACGCGGTGTGTCCGTGTAAGATCAACCCGATGGCCGGAGGCCGGAGGATGATCTTTCACTGACACCAAGTCCGAATGGGATAACTACTTTAAATCCATGCTGTTCTAGATTATATAAAAAAATAAAATGCTCCGCAGGGCGCAGCTTGATACGACCGCAGAGGTCAAACCCTGAACAGTTGGGGCAAGTATGGACACAACATTCAAGCTTGATACAGCTCTGAATTTGGATTGTGATTAAATATTTGACACAGCATAGGTTACTGACACAGAATGAATGTGGTCTAAGAACTTAATTTTTTTTTATTAAATTGGACATTCACCTATTATGGTCCAATATCCAAAATCTAAATACATGGTTAGATTAAGCATATCAAAGAACCCCAAGAATTCAAGTTTTTATGAAATCAAACAAAGTTTAATTTAGGACCCTTTTGACCTCAATGTGGACAAAGTTGATAACGGGGCCCAAAAATCAAAAATCTAAATACATGGTTAGATTCAGCATATCAAAGAACCTCATATATTCAATTTTTGTTGAAATCAAACAAAGTTTAATTTTGGACCCCGATTTGGACCAACTTGAAAACTGAGCCCATAATCAAAAATCTAAATACATGTTTAGATTCAGCATATCAAAGAACCCTAAGAATTCAATTTTTGTTAAAATCAAACTAAGTTTAATTTTGAACCCTTTGGACCTTAATGTAGACCAATTTGAAAACGGAACCAAAAATTAAGAATCTAACTACACGGTTAGATTCGGCATATCAAAGAACTCCAAGAATTCAATTTTTGATGAAATCAAACAAAGTTTAATTTAGGACCCTTTTGACCTCAATGTGGACAAAGTTGATAACGGGGCCCAAAAATCAAAAATCTAAATACATGGTTAGATTCAGCATATCAAAGAACCCCATATATTCAATTTTTGTTGAATCAAACAAAGTTTAATTTTGGACCCCGATTTGGACCAACTTGAAAACTGGGCCCATAATCAAAAATCTAAATACATGTTTAGATTCAGCATATCAAAGAACCCTAAGAATTCAATTTTTGTTAAAATCAAACTAAGTTTAATTTTGAACCCTTTGGACCTTAATGTAGACCAATTTGAAAACGGAACCAAAAATTAAGAATCTAAATACACGGTTAGATTCGGCATATCAAAGAACCCCAATAATTCAATTTTTGATGAAATCAAACAAAGTTTAATTTTGGACCCTTTGGACCTCAATGTGGACCAATTTAAAATCGGGGCCCAAAATCCAAAAACTTAATACACGGTTAGATTCAGCATATTAAAGAACCCCAAGAATTCAAGAATAAAACCCCATTGAAATTGGTCAAGATATAAGCAATTAATACTGTGCAATTGAATATTTCTTGCTATTGCGCAATACTGTACAATTGACAATTTCTTGCTATTGCGCAATATTGTGCTATTGGATATTTCTTGCTATTGCGCAATACTGTGCAATTGAAGATTTCTTGCTATTGCGCAATACTGTGCAATGAAAGATTTCTTGCTATTGTGCAATACTGTGCAATTGAAAATTTCTTGCTATAGCACAATACTTATTATATAATAATTTACACATCCTGTTTGGTGTGTATCTCCTACCATATCATTATTATTTGCTTTTAAATATAAATCAGAAATAACCAACTTAAAATGGAAAATTTTAAAAGAAAAAAAAAGGAAAAAAAGAAAAAAAAGGAAACCCCCCCCCAATTTTTTGAAACCCCTTATGATTCATCACCCCCAAACTCAATCCCAGCCTTCCCTTTGTGGTATGGTACCTTGCAGTACAATTTCAGAGAGATCCATACACTTGAACACAAGTTATTGTCCTGAAACTAGAAAAATGCTTGTTTTTTTCCCTTTTTGGCCCCTTATTCCTAAAATTTTGAGGGAATTACCCCCAAAATCAATCCCAGCCTTCCCTTTGTGGTATGGTACCTTGCAGTACAATTTCAGAGAGATCCATACACTTGAACACAAGTAATTGTCTGGAAACTATAAAAATGCTATTTTTTCCCCCATTTTGGCCCCTTATTCCTAAATGTTTTGGGCAATTACCCCCAAACTCAATTCCAGCTTTCCCTTTGTGATATGGAACTTTGTAGTTCAATTTCAGAAAGATCCATACACTTACACACAAGTTATTATCATGAAACTAGAAAAATGCTTGTTTTTTGCCCCTTTTTTGGCCCCTAATTCCTAAAATTTTGAGGCAATTACCCCCAAAACCAATCACAGCATTTCCTTTGTGATATGGAAACTTGTGGTACAATGTCAGAGAGATCCATACACTAACACACAAGTTATGTCTGGAAGTTACAAAAATGCTTATTTTTGGCCCCTTTTTGGCCCCTAATTCCTTAACTGTTGGTACCATAACCCCCAAAATCAATCATAACCTTCCTTTTGTGGTATTGAACCTTATGGTAAAATTTCACGGAGATCCATTCACTTAAACTAAAGTTAGAGTGCAAAACCAATGTGTCTTCGGACGACGCCGGACGACGCCAGACGACGACGACGACGACGACGACGACGCCAACGTCATACCAATATACGACCAAAAAATTTTTAATTTTTGCGGTCGTATAAAAATGGATATTTCAGGGGCAATAACCCCAAAAATGGCTGATGGAATTTTTTTCGATTTTCAGGGTTGATACATTTTGTTGTGCTGATCATTTCTTCAATTTCAAGGTTTAAACTATTGTTAGCTCCTATGTATATATATATATATATATATATATATATATAGTTTAATAGATAACAAAAATTCTGAAAATTGGTAAAAACCATATAGGGTCTTCAGGTTTTTCTGAAACTTTTCAGGTCAATTTTAACATAGCTCCTATAGTATTTGACACAATAGCCAAGACCTGCTATAAATAAATATCAATCCATTGAGCATTTTTAGAGGTGAAAATTTCAAAAAGAAAAAATTACTGTAAACAGACATACATGTACGGACAATGGATGCAAAGTTATAGCTAAAGTTCACATGGTCCGATATATTAGTCTGAAAGCTGCATATATGCAAAACAAAAAAGTTGAAACAATCATTTGTTTAAAATCATATATTCCACATGAAAAAGATAATGAAATAAACTGTTATCTCGCCTTTTTGTAATTTTGATAATGCAAATGTTGAAATTAAAATAGCAATACTTTAACATGTAAGTTATGCAAATATTCAAAGAAATTTGGATGTTATTATTACTGGTTCATGGAATAAGTTTGAGTTATTTCTCTTTGAACAGAAATATGGTTTAACATAGTACTCTAACATTAGATATGATTTCACTAAAAATAGTTCTCTAAAATTAGATATGATGTAACACAATATATATCTATTTTCAAATTATAATCAAATATAATTAATAGTTCAAAATATTTTTTCATTCATTTGTCACAAACTAATATAGATCTGCAACTTATCTATCAACTTCACCTACACAATGTAATGTAATATGTCCTTTAATAAAAATAGATTATTATCTAATTAAAGGAGTTCACTTCATAAAAAAAAATTTATATATATAGCATTCAGAAAATTAGTTTATACAGAATTACAAACAAACCTACCACAAAATTCTTCAAACAATTTACCAAAGAAAAGAAAAAAAATCCAAAATGTCATTTATCATTTATCATTAATACAATGTCTTTTAAAAATCTTTTAAAAAATGAGTTAGTTCCCTTTGTACAGAAATGGATTAATTCATCAAAAATTGAATTCTTGGGAAAGGGCTATAACTGAACAACAAGAAAAGCTAAAATCATGAAAAAACAACCTATCTAAATTTGAATAAATTTCTTCAAAGCTTATTCATGTAAATGAACAGACACTGTTTGGCAGCCGCCCGCCCGCCATACATCCCCAAATCAATAACCTATTTTTACTTCGAAAATCCGGTTAAAAAACAATGCACGCATAAATTAGGCAACAAGAAATTTATTTTCTTGTGCTGATTTTTTCCCCACCATTCAAAGTAATATTTTTGATGTAATGTCAGGTATATTCATAAAATTATGACACCTACGATGATGTTGTTTTTATAAATTATTCCAAAAGTGTCATGACCATTAATTTTGTCATTTTTTTTTTCTAGTTGTAAAGATTGTTCTCAATCTTTCTTACAATACTTTTAGTCTCTAGATATTTATTCTATTCAATAGCTTTTCGAAATACCTTAGCCAGGTTTTCTAAATAAAATAACAACTAAACTACTAGTTCAAGAATTAGAAATTATTATTATAACTTTAAATAAAATGCTCCGCTGGGGTGCAGCTTGATACGACCGCAGAGGTCGAACCCTGAACAGTTGGGGCAAGTATGGACACAACATTCAAGCTTGATACAGCACTGAATTTGGATTGTAATTAAATATTTGACACAGCATAGGTTTCTCACACAGAATGAAAGTAGTCTAAGAACTTAAAAAATTTTAATTTACCTATTCAAACCATATCATTATTATTTGCTTTTATATATAAATCAGAAATAACCAATTTAAAATGGAAAATTTTAAAGAAAAAAAAGGAAAAAAAAATCCCCCCCCCCAAATTTTTTGAAACCCCCTTATGATTCATCACCCCCAAACTCAATCCCAGCCTTCCCTTTGTGGTATGGTACCTTGCAGTACAATTTCAGAGAGATCCATACACTTGAACACAAATTATTGTCTGGAAACTAGAAAAATGCTTGGGTTTTTTGCACCTTTTTGGCCCCAAATTCCTTAAAGTTTAAGGCAATTACCCCCAAACTCAAACCAAGCTTTCCCTTTGTGATATGGAACCTTGCAGTACAATGTCATAAAGATCCATACACTTACACACAAGTTATTGTCATGAAACTAGAAAAATGCTTGTTTTTTTCCCCTTTATGGCCCCTAATTCCTAACATTTTGAGACAATTACCCCCAAAAACAATCCCAGCCTTCCCTTTGTGGTATGGTACCTTGCAGTACAATTTCAGAGAGATCCATACACTTGAACACAAGTTATTGTCTGGAAACTAGAAAATGCTTATTTTTGGCCCCTTATTCCTAAACGTTTGGGCAAGTACCCCCAAACTCAATTCCAGCTTTCCCTTTGTGATATGGAACCTTGTAGTACAATTTCATAAATATCCATACACTTACACACAAGTTATTGTCATGAAACTAGAAAAATGCTTGTTTTTTGCCCCCTAATTCCTAAAATTTGGAGGCAATTACCCCCAAAATCAATCCCAGCATTCAAACCCTCAATCAGCATCATTTAACAGTAATATCTAAAAATGGAAATTACATAATAAAGGTATTAAAATAGAAAATGACATCATAGTCATGGCTAAAAATAAACAAAATCCTTAATCAGCAACATTTTACAGTAATATCTAAAAATAAAATTCCTTTGTAACCATAAAAGCCCATTTAAATACATCATGACAGATATTAAAATAGAAAATGACATCATAGTCATGGCTAAACATAGCAAAAACCTTAATCAGCATCATTTAACAGTAATATCTAAAAATAAAAATTTCTTTGCAACCATAAAAGTAAAATAGAAAATGACATCATAATCATAGCTAAAAATAAACTAAAATTTTTTTTATTACCAAATTTTAAATGGAGTTTATTAAACTAAAACAATAAATTTGCAACCATAAAACCCCATTTAAACACATCATAAAAGTATTAAATAATTCAACTACATCATAAGGCTATAAAAATAGAAAATGACTTCATAGTCAAGGCTAAAGGTAAACAAAAAACCTTCATCAGCAAAATTTTATATTGGCAAATTTCCAATGAAGTTTATTATACTAAAATTGTTGGCAAATTTCCAATGCATTTATTAACAATAAAGTTATTGGCAAATTTCCAATTTACATAATTTAAAAGCAGTGTAAGTGAGATATTTAAATGAGTTTGAATTACCAACCTTACACTGTTTTTAAATAATGTTTTGTACTTATTTATCTATTAACCTGGAAACCCTTGTTTTTTCACCTTTTTTTCCCTTATTATTTAAAGGTTTGAGCCATAACCCTACCCCAAAGCCAATTCTTAAATTCCAATGTAACCTAAATTTACAATATACATAACTTCAATTTAAGTTTTTGATAAAATCAAACCACATCATTATTATTTGCTTTTATATCTAAATCAGAAATAATTAACCAACTTTAAGTGGAAAATTTTCACACATCACGCCCCCCCAAACTCAATCCCAGCCTTCAGTTTGTGGTATGGTACATTGCAGTACAATTTCACAGAGATCCAATTACTTAAACACAATTAATTGTTGGAAACTAAAAAAAAATGCCTATTTTTAACCCCTTTTTTAGCCCCTTATTCCTAAACATTTGAGCAATTATCCCCCAAACTCAATTCCAACTTTCTCTTTGTGATCAGAATTAACCAACTAAAAATGGAAAATTTTAAAGAAAAAAAAAAGGAAAAAAAATCCCCCCCCCCCCCCCAAATTTTTTGACCCACTTCCCTTTGTGGTATGGTACCTTTAAGTACAATTTCAGAGAAATCCATACACTTGAACACAAGTTAATGTCTGGAAACTAAAAAAATGCTTATTTTTGCCCCCTTTTTTGGCCACTTATTAATAAATGTTTTGGGCAAACATTTTACAATAATATTTAAAACTGAAATTAATTTGTAACCTTAAAATTAAATAGAAAATGACATCATAGTCATAGCTAAAAATAAACAAACTATTGGTAAATTTCCAATGGAGTTTATTATATTAAAACAATAAATTTGCAACCATAAAAGCGCATTAAAATACATCATAAAAGTATTAAAAAAAATTTAACTACATCATAAGGCTATTAAAATAGAAAATGACATCATAGTCAGACTAAAGGTAAACAAAAAACCTTCATCAGCAAAATTTTATATTGGCAAATTTCCAATGAAGTTTATTATACTAAAATAATTGGCAAATTTCCAATTTACATAATTCAAACATAGTGCAGGTGAGATATTTAAATGAGTTTGAATTACCAACCTTACACTGCTTTTAAATAATGTTCTTTACTCAATTATTTGTCTATTAAAATGGAAACCCTAGTTTTTTAACCTTTTTTCCCCTTATTCCTTAAACGAAAAAAAATAATTACCCCTTTTTTGACCCCCCCCCCCCCCCTCTATGATTCATCACCCCCCCTTCCCCCCCAAACCAAGCTCAATAACAGCCTTGCCTTTGTGGTATGGTACCTTGTAATACAATTTTAGAGAGATCCATACACTTGAACACAAGTTATTGTCTAGAAACTAAAAAATGCTTATTTTTCACCCCTTTTTAGGCCCCTGATTACTAAACGTTTTGGGCAATTACCACAAAACTCAATTCCAGCTTTCCCTTTGCGAAATGGAACCTTGTAGTAAAATTTCAGAAAGATCCATACACTTACACACAAGTTATTGTCATGAAACTAGAAAAATGCTTGTTTTTTGCCCCCTTTTGGCCCCTTATTCCTAAAATTTTGAAGAAATTAACCCCAACATCAATCCCATCATCGACCCTTTGTGATATGGAATCTTGTAGTACAATGTCAAAGAGATCCATACAATAACACACAAGTTATGTCTGGAAGTTACAAAAATGCTTATTTTCGGCCCCTTTTTGGCCCCTAATTATTTAACTGTTGGTACCATAACCCCCAAAATCAATCCCCACCTTCCTATTGTGGTATTGAACCTTATGGTAAAATTTCATAGAGATCCATTCACTTAAACTAAAGTTAGAGTGCGAAAACCATTGTGTATTCGGACGACGACGCCGGACGACGACGACGACGACGACGACGACGACGACGACGCCAACGTCATACCAATATACGACCACAAAATTTTTTTGCGGTCGTATAAAAACCATTGTAATGTTTACAGATGCGAAGTAAACATTATTGCACATAATGCTGTGTCATTGCTAAAAACACCTCAAGGGTTGACCATGTTGACTGGGGTATAGATATATGGACAAGCGCCTTCTCTTAATCCACAAATGCTCAAATAAAGCACACAGAGAAAAAATGTGATCATTTGTAGATGACCACTTCTAAAACAGCTTGGTTTTGATGTAATAACAATTATTCATCAAGATATACATTTAATGTTATAGTTATCTCATGGTGACGCGGTGTGTCAGTGTAAGATCAACCCGATGGCCGGAGGCCGGAGGATGATCTTTCACTGACACCAAAGCTACTTTAAATCCATGCTGTTCTAGATTATATATAAAAAAAAAAACATTGACGCTTCATATCATCTAGTTTAGAACTCCATACCAACATTATAGTATACTTTATATAATACAATATAGTATATACCCTTTATGAGCCCTGGACACGATGTTTAAATATGTCCCCTATTAAAATGATCAAGTGTGCAATATTAAGAACATACATTCAGTCTATACAAAAAAAAATGCCGACGTTAACAATATTTTAGCTTTTGGTGTGTTTTCTGCATTTATTTTCAATTGGTAATTATCTGTTTCTTTATTTGTTGTTTGGGCGAAACGTTTCAGATTTTTCTTTAAGTTGTTTTTATAACGAAACGTAACACCACTACTAACCGTGTATTAAAATAAAACACGCTCACTGACAGAATATTAAATATACAAGTTCTCCACGTGTTCGTTTTCAACCAATGATATTTCTAGAAGCGTATAGGAGGTAAGATAATTGCTTTTTCTACTCTTTGTCTAGACCTTTGATAAAAAAAGTGGTGCCAACTCCAAATACACAAGTCATGCAGGGACTTTAAACAATATATGTTACCACAAGTTAAATAATGCCTTTCAGAAACGGTACTATATTGAACGAAGTTTCATTTCCTTATGCTATAAACTAAAGCTCTGGCATTGTCTTCATTGCAAATTAATAAAGTTGATGATTTCTTATCAACGTGAACAGCATAAGGCTTGTCCAATCCGTCCTTGGCGGATAAAATAACCCTACTTGAGATACCATCAGGGGAAATAGCTACAACTGTGTTTGTCGGATTGCATGCCACATATACCATTCCATTTATATCAACGGAAAGACCAAATGGTCTATTGATGTCATTGTTTCTGATTGTCCAAATATGTTGACCTTCTCTTGTGTAACAGGATACTGTGTTTTCATTCACATTTGTACTGTATATTTTGTCCTTGAATAAAGCCACTCGAATAAGATAGTATCCTGGTATCTTAACCTTTATTTGAATACTTCCATCAATATCTGTAATGATCACTATGTCTTTATCTTGTAACCGAACAATCAATGTTTCGCCATCGCTGTCCAACCCATAACATGAACCTTCTACTGGAAATGACTTAAGAATGATACTATTTTCAATATCTACCACCAGTATTTGATTCTTATCCAAAATAGAAACAACGACCGTTTGATCTCCAAACAAACAAATGTCAAATGGAATTCCATTAAACGTTATAACATCTCTAGTATGGACTCCATCTGCGTTGAAGTTCAGTAGACGTCGGTTTATTTGGTCAAGTAGTAAAAACTGCTCATCGGAGAGTACTTGACAGCCAGTTATTTTAACACAACCATCCAAAGGTATAGGTACGGCTAAGTTTGTCTTTAAGACAGGTTTCAACTGCTTTATACTCATAGGAGTGGATATTTGTACTTGTGCACCTATATAATCGTTTTCAAGATCTGCCATTGTTGAATAGTTAATTATACTGATTAGTGCCTCTATGGCATCTACAATTATTAACAGTCTATACTTTAATATCAAGAAACCAACATATTCTAAAAGGCAACATTTAAAACATGAAAGCAAGGTTCAAAGTTCGCATACTCGGCAACCAATGGAGATGCCTGTTCGGAAAGCCGACTTCCTTACTTTGGAAGTTGTCAAGTGTTAAATATCCTCAATGTTCTCAGATCCAACAAATATAACACTTGCTTTGTAGAGGCCATGAATACCCTTTGTCCTACTTAGGAGTTGTTTGCTTTTGCTAAATTTAGAAACAGAGGGTCTGTAATTGAAGATAAACTTTTAATTAATAGCTGCTTAGGTAACGAGCTAGATTACATAAGTAGCTTACTAGAACATGCTTATTTTTATGCACCTGTCCTAAGTCAGGAGGAGCCTGTTGTTCAGTCGTTGTCGTTTGTTGGTGTGGTTCATAGGTGTTTCTCGTTTCTCGTTTTTTATATAGATTAGACCGTTGGTTTTCCTGTTTGAATTGTTTTACACTAGTCATTTTGGGGCCCTTTATAGCTTGCTGTTAGGTGTGAGCCAAGGCTCCGTGTTGAAGGTCGTACTTTGACCTATAATTATTAACTTTTTATACATTGTGACTCGATGGAGAGTTGTCGCATTGGCACTCACACCACATCTTCTTATTTATATATAACAACTATAATTATGGACTAAGGCAACTCGTCCAGTAACACTATGATCGCGAGCGGTCGAGATGACAAGTTCAGTTATAATTATCTTTAATCAGATAAAATATTTATCAATGCTATTATTAATCGCAATGTAATGTCAATTGAAAAGTCAAGATGCAGAACAATATCCCAGGTGATATAATAATACATTGGTTCATGTCTGCCATATTTGTTTTTCATTAATTGTTTTGTTATAAATTAGGCCGTTAGTTTTCTTAATTGAATTGTTTCATATTTTTCATGTCGGGGCCTTCATAGCCGACTCTACGGTATGGGTTTTTCTCATTGTTGAATGCCGTACGGTTGCTTATAATTGCTTACATCCACTTTATTTGAAATTTGGTGGATAGTTGTCTCATTGACAATCATACCTTATCTCCTTATTTTTATACTGACCTGTAAATTTCATAACTCAACTATATTAACTTAAGTCAATTTAAAGGTCACTATATAAATGAATTAATAACTCAGTTTATATACAAATAGATAAATTTTCAGACAGTAAACTGAAAACCTACCTTTTATATAAAACAAATTTTGGTTTTGAAAAATATCTAACATTGATCAAGAATTTTGAACTTAGAAGAAGTTTTACTAAATTACGTGTATCTTCTCATAGATTACAAATAGAATTAGGTAGATATCAGGGTATTCCCCGAATTAACAGAATATGTAATAAATGTTCTTCCAATACTGTCGAAGATGAGGCTCATTTTCTATTTGATTGTAACAAATTTGAGGATGATAGAAATTGTATGTTAGCTAGTATTGCACAATATAATTCTTATTTTAATCATATGAGCAGTCAAAGCAAACTTATCTGGTTATTTAGTGTAGAAAATGTTGAGTTACTTAAAATAATATGTAATTTTATATACAAACATCTTCCTTAGTGAAGATTAGTTAAAGGAAATCTATGTGTGTATATACATTTGATTGGACATAGAAAATTATATTCATCTGAATATCACAAACATACTAGCCGATTGAAAAAAAAAATAATTGTTAAGATATATTATTTATTCAAATGTTCTCTTATATCCTTGAGGCATCGTCCCCTGGTATCAACTGCATTCAAGTTACCTATGATGCTTCCTTGTTTGCTTTTGATACAGGTAGGAAAGAGACATTTACACACATTTTACATGCCTATGGCCCATAAGGTATCGCCCCCTGGTGTCAGCTGCCTTTAGGAAACCATAATGCTTTCCTATTTGCTGCTGACACAGGATGAGTCATGGACATGTTTAATTTCTACTTTCTTTTTGGCTAATTATTATATATTTAATTGATCCAACTTTTTGTGTACTATACATATGTGGATATCTATTTTTCTTTTTTTCTTTTTGGGCTGCTTGTTTGTTATCTATATCAACCACACTTGCAATAAAATGCATTAGTATTAAAAAAAAAAACAACATACTATAGATTCTTTATCTACGTATTCTTTAAGAACTTAAATAGTTCTCGTTTAACTTTTTTTTTTTTATCTCATTGTTTGTATTGTATTATGAAAAATTATTGATGTTGTAATGTTTATGCCCTTTGGGGCCCATAATTGGAAATAAAATATCTTATACATCATTATTCATTAAAATTATATCGAAACTGTTCATCTGTTAACTGAAAAATATATATATTATATAATAAGAGTTCACATCATATAATTAAACCTTTTACAACAATTTAACATCATACCATGATATTGAAAAATTGTCAAACGATGCAAATTGCTGTTGAAGGCATCATGCATAACTGCAAATGTTAGATGTTGTTTTGTAAAATTTTTCATCGAAGGAAATCTTTCTTCAAAATGAATTCATCTGTATTCTTATAACATTCTTTTTCTTTTGGTGGAAGAATTGTAAGTACTCAAAATCTGTCAAAATAGAGGTATTGGAGTACCTTAAGGCGTTCATAATTTGGTCATTTTATTAGAAAGAAGCCATTAAATTGTTAAAACCTCAAAGACAACACATAGAGCTGTGATATTGTTAAAACCTCAAAGACAATGGATACCTAGCTGTTCTCTAATAGTTTAAGGTTTTCCAAATGGGGTAATATCTATTTTCATCTTGAGGCGGGGTCAAGCAAAAAAGCAAGACGCAGAATTGATTTACCGATTATTACACACAATGAGACATACATCACAACATATATACGAAGGTCTCATTTTTTGCCATTTTTCCAATATTAGGTGTGCGTGTCTTCTTATGTTTATAGTTGTTATCGATGTGTAGTGCCAAACTGTGTATACGCTCAAACTTCTTTTATTTTATCATAAATCATTTACACTCTAATTATGTTAGCTAATTTGATCATTTCTGCAATATCATTTACAATTATCTTACCTGCATAATGAATACACTAAAACTAATACGGTCTTTATCGGTAAATATAAACACTTAAATGTCCTACATTGTACAAAATCCACGAAGTATTGAAATTGAGGTGCAGTTTTATATTAAAAGATACATGTGACCACTTTCAGAAAGTGGATTAAAATTACAATGTCTATATTTATAACTATACACAATGTAGTTGGGTTTACAGCTTTACATGTCTATAAATATAAACTGGGGAAATGGACCGTAAAATATGATGAGATCTTATAGACACACAGTTAACAATAGTTAAATATTGCACACTTAGGCAATTTCAATTAAGATAAAATTATCACTGGAAGACAACGAAACAACAAATATAGTAATTAAATGGAAATCTGTAAACAAGGGGAGATAAATCAATCACAAACTGACCAGGAAAAAAGAAAGTAAGAATGCGAGGTTTAATTATTGCGCGGATCGACGGTCGGTCGTATAATTCTCAAATAATAAAAAAAAAAAAACTCGCAATAATTCCTGAATTTAAAGTAAATCAGAGATGGTCGATAACGTCCGTGCCACACTACATGCATATGCATATATACTTATAAAAGGATATTCTGTAGCCAAGTGGTCATGGTGGTATAGATGTACTTCATCAGCAAACACTAGCCTGTCAACACAGAGGTTGAGAGTTGGGACCCCGCTCTTGGCAGGTGCATTCGCTTCCTATCTTAATTGGTCGGTGATTCTCTCTCCGGGTGCTCCGACTTTCTCCACCAATAATAAAGCAATGAAAAATATTCATATAGAAACTACATTTTTTATATAAACAGAAAAAAAACGAAGCTTGTTGAATTTATCCGTATTAATTGACATGTTCTCTGTAAACCAAACGGAACATTTACGGATATTTTGAAGTCGCTTAGGATACAGTGATTACTTGTATAAAATGCTTTTTAGCTCACCTCATTAGAAATTGCTAGCACTTCGCGTCCGTCGTCGTCAGTGGAATATTTTCAAAAATCTTGCCCTCTAAAACAGTTTCTACCAAACCATGCAAACTTGGGCTGAATGATTTTTCGGTATTCGAGAACACAATTTGTGTTGTTTAGTTCTGCCAATCAACCAATATGGCCGCCATGATTTAAATAGAACATTTTTTATAGTTTGTTCTTATGTTGTACTGTTACACTACTTCCAAGGTTGGAGGGTTGGCGCTTTTAAACTAGTTTAACCCCGCCACATTCTATATGTGCCTGTCCCTCAAGAGCCTGTAATTCAGTGGTTGTCGAATTTTGCTGTATATTATATTTGTTATTCTTTCATTATTTTGTACATAAATCAGGCCGTTAGTTTTCTCGTTTAAATTGTTTTACATTTGTCATTTCGAGGCCTTTTATAGCTGACAATGCGGTATGGGTTTTGCTCATTGTTGACGACCGTACGGTGACCTATAGCTGTTAACTTCTCTGTCATTTGGTCTCTGGTGGAGAGTTGTCTCATTGGCAATTATACCACATCTTCTTATTTTTATAACGGTAAAATGCAAGTAATATTCTAAGAGAAGGACCATTATTTTAGTTTTTCCCGGATGGAATTTTCATTTTTCAATTTTTACTGTTATGGGTTGTTTATTTCGCGCGAAAGTTTATGTTCATTCGTTAGTACAAATATTTCCTGCATTGTCCAGCAATTTTTTTGGACAGATTCATTTTCATCCTTTCTTGGACGAAGTTACTAGGCCAGAATAATCATTTCCAAAATATTTCCACACCTCCCCTACCCCACAGAATATCAAATGGACATCCATAATGTTAAAAAAAATCAAGATCTACTAACATTTGGTAAAAGGAGACACCTACAAATTGAAATAGATTGTGTTTCTGTATTTATGGAAATTGTTTTTTTTTGTCAGATGTAAAGTTTTCTTCTATACCCACATATTTTTCAAACCCTGTTTTACCATAAATGTGTGATGCACTTAGGAGGTTAAATCACTTTCTTACAATTATTACAGATAATGGAAATTCTTTCAAGGTTTTACTTCTTCTATAAATAGCTGTTTAGGGATCATATTAAAATGTACCTGATTATGTTGTCTTCTATTACAAAAAAAAATAGTTTTGTTTACAGAAAAACGATTAGGACATCGCAACAACAAAACTTGTCGCTAAAATGAGTATCATCAAACTTCAATGTGTAATAATATAAATGAAAACAAATTTTATTGTTCTAAAACTAGACGTGGCTGAGAGTAAACAACGCTTTAAAAGTTGTTTCAGTTTCTTTGAAATAGTGTACGATGTATGTATATGAATAATTAGACGCCAAGCAGCGTAACATACATCTCTCTATCATGTTGTAGAGCAGACAGTCAAAATATGCAGGTGAAGGGGTTTGTCTAGGCTTAAGAAAGTGCTTCTCTTACAGTGACGCATACCACACACCTCCTCTTTAAACCACATCCTAGAGCTTCTATATCCTTAATTTACATAAGACATGGATAATTATTTTTGATTAACTCATTGGTAAAATAAAATCACTATTTTGATTAGTCGAAGTTCAAAAATATAAATTTAAAAGCAAGTTAACGTGGATATGAAGAAAATGTTTCAACAGACAATCAAATAGTCATTGTAAATGTTATTGACACATATTTCAAGTTTAATTTGACTTTGTCTATGTAAATTATTTGAATATCAAAAATTGAATTTTTAAAATTAAATACAATGTTGAAAAATTAAGATTTATCCAATAAAATCTGGGTCATCAATTTGTGAATTGGTCGTTTATACATTATTTCTGATTAGTCCATTTGTTTACAGTCATAAATACTATTCTTATTTGTTGAAAATTACGTAAATATATTATGTATAGATATTGTATAATTAATGACAGCGTATACAATGGGTTCTGGGTGCAGATTTATATTTTAACAAATTGAGTTGTCCCTCTTTGAATATAGTTGTTTCACTTACATTTTTGGGGAAATCCATTGCGACTTTTTTGTGAGTTCCCCGTTTTCTGCCCTTCCGAGTAATATGTGTATAGAATTGTTTGTGTGTTTTATAAAAAAAAAATATTCGCCCTGACAATAAATCAGACAAACCTTTTCTGTAGTATAGAGTCATAAGAAGATATTAAATGATGTTAATTAGTTAGTTTCTAAATATAACTTCAAACACAGGCGCTTGGTGAATAGACCTCTTTTTCTATAATTTTTTTTAGCGATTTGATTTTTTGGTGAATATTCTTATGTTTTAAAATTTTTCACTTTTTAAATTTGACTATGTTGTTTTCCATACGATTTTACAAGAACAGTAGATTTTATATGATGCCCCTCTATTATCATTTTCCACGTGGCAAGGAAAGATCGGAAATCTTAATATCGTATATCTGCTCGCCTCCGACATATTTTAACTACCATATTTCCATTAAATGATACAAGCATCAACTAAACACAGATTTACTTTTTCGGTAGTGTTGGTGGTTTTATGAGCAATCACTCAGCTATCCAGAAATAACAAAGTTTCACACTTTAGTAGCTATAACTTAGTAAAGTCCCAAAAATCAAATAGGAATAGAAAAGAATACCGAATACTTTATTTTCAAAGCAAGGTTTTTATTGGAGATAGTAACATTCAGCTATCTATATATACTTTCACACATACATGTAGCTTAGTGGTTTGATTTCTTCCTAGTGTTACCCTATTATATCAAACAATAAAAAGAATGTGTCCTTAGTACACGGATGCCCCACTCGCACTATCATTTCTGTGTTCAGTGGACCGTGAAATTGGGATAAAAACTCTCATTTGGCATTAAAATTAGAAAGATCCTATCATAGGGAACATGTGTACTAGTCTAAGTTTCAAGTTGTTCGGACTTCAACTTCATCAAAAACTACCTTGACCAAAAACTTTAACCTGAAGCGGGACAGACGAACGGACGGACGAACGAACGGACCCACAGACCAGGAAACATAATGCCCCTCTACTATCGTAGGTGGGGCATAAAAACTGGCAAAAGACATATTGACGAGACGAAGCCAGGGTTGAAAATGTTATTCTCGGGGTAACGATTGCTCTATCACTATATCAGCCATAATTTATGTTATTTATGAAATGTTGTACACTGTATGTGTATATTTGACGAACTTGTTGAGAGATGAACCAAGATTAGAAGAAAGAGAAAGAACTATGCCATGCAGATGCTCGAGAGATTTATATGGTCTCTTTGAACATTGTCAAGGGCAGGGGTTTGAATTAATTTTGGCTGGTATATTTTATTATTTAATGTTATATGGATGGACTAATGATATGAAATAAATACATATTACAATACAAAATCGTTAATATATTCATCAATCATGAAGTCGATGTCTTTGAGAGCTTCAACGGCAAGCGGGAGTACGCACACAAGTCCACGGAATAATGACTGCTCTCGAGGAAGTATCTTTCTTGCCCAGACGGGATGAATCACAATTTTGAGCGGAGCTTCCGGTTTCATTAATTCTTGTCCATTATTAATTTTCTTGCGTATGTCTCTTTTTATTTGTTTTTGTTTTTCGCTTTCACAAATGGAATGAACTTGAAGCAATGGTACATATAATTGTGTAAACGCTTCTGTGAACGTGGTTCGTAACTTCCCTAACATGTCTATGAACTGGTCAATAATTTTGGTGTTTTTGACACGTGATGTTCCTTTGGCCATTTTGTAATTTGTTTCGAACTCTCGTATAGTTTTTAATTCGAGTACACCTTGTGGTAGAATCTGTTTCATTGTAAGAGCAAATTCTCCTAACGATAATTCTATGTCTTCTTCAGTATCCTTCAAGGATTGCACATTATCGGTGAAACTTTTTTGTTGTTCTGTCAATCTTAGAACCATTTTCTTGTCTACTTCTGGAAATATTATAGTACAGATTTATATGCATGTTTAAAATACCATTCAAACATGTACACAAAGTCTTTTCTGACAAAAAAAAAATAAAAGAATTTGAATTATTCAGATGAAAAGTATATATCTAACGTACACCTCAAATATAACGGACGTGTCGTATAGGATATCTTTTTACAATGAAATACTCATTCACTTTGACCCTTCATTTGTTTGACATTACAGTTAATTGTGGTTTATTGTACTTACTTTGGTCAAAATCGCAATAAATCTACATTGTGGACACGAATCCGGCACACTGCGTTTCAAATAAATAAATAAAAAAAATGTTTGATGCTCCAATGGAGGGCTCTTCATAGGCAATATGTTTCGGACATACAATGCGATTAAAGTTATTATATTAATACAATGCAATCATAATCTTTTGCCATAGCCATAACTCTTGGCATGGGAAATTCAAGAATTATTTGTAATCTGTATTAATATATTATTCAACGGAATCTTTAAACGTGGTATTCCATGTCGCTACCACGGAAATTGGTCAAATTAAGATATTTACCTCTAGTTTTAATTTCCAGTCTTTTCATTTTTCTACTTAACAGTTCGTTTGTACAATTGTTGTATTCAGATTCCAAGATTTTAGATCTGAGTACAATCTTGGACGTTTTTAGCTTCTTTAATACAGTGCTATTGATGATAACGTCCTGGAAGGTCATACTCAGTTTCCCTCTCTGATGTAGACCCCAGAGTGAGTCTAATGCTCCTATATCATCAAATCCTACAGCTAAAACTATTCCTGAAATTGTAAGAAATTGATAATAAAACTGGTCGTAGATTTCACAACGCGTTTAAAAATACCATTGAAAGTTTGTCTCATAAAAATCCACGTGACTACATTTTACTCATTTCCACTCATTTTTAACATGGGTGATTTGTTTTATTCGTCTTTGATCGACGGATTTTCTAGCAAACCACGTTACACATAGCCGTCGCTAGATCGCCTGTCTATCAATTACGCAAGAGATCGAAGGAAAACTCTTTCAAACTTATAAGGCACTTTAAAGGTGTGGTATGATTGCCAATGAGACAACTATCCACCAAAGTTAAAAATGAAGTGGACGTAAGCAACTATAGGCAACCTTACTGCCTTCAACAATGAGAAAAATCCATACCTTATAGTCGGCTATAAAAGACCCCGACATGAAAAACAATTATCATAAAACAATTCAATTGAGAAAACTAACGACCTAATACCTAATTTTTAACAAAACAATTTACGAAAAAAATATGACAGATATATGAAGTTTGTCTCACTCTGATAAGAGCTACGTGCCTACCACTCATTTTTCACATTTGGCGAAAGCAGTGTATGTTTAATAGTATATGTTTTTTCTTTAGTTGGTGTGAGTGGATTTTTGCAAGATTTTCAACACCCCCATAAAAATCTGCGTGAATTAAAAAAAAAAAGATTTAAAATGATAACAAGTTCCACTGCTGCATTATATATCCTACGTATTTTTTTTTAATTTTCGTTTAAATGATTCAAGACCGACGGTTTCGCCCGTTAACTGGTACAAGAAATCAAAACAAAAACAGGAAGTATTCTGAAGGTTGTTTTACAATTATTTCTAAATAAGAATTAATCTAGTATTCTATAATTTCAATCAAATCTATTCTTTTGTTTTCAATCTCTGATGGAATATATAGATTTGATACTGTTTAATGGCGGTAAAATCGACAATTTAGCTCTGTTTATCTGGGTGTTATGGCACTAATGAAGTGATTTGATTCAAATATTGATAATTATTTAGTATTAATTGTCACCAGGAATCGAGGGAGGGCCTTTGAAAGGGTTATAAAATGAAGAAATTAAATTATTTTCCCATTTAATGTCTTCAATTGATGGTTGTTTTGCTAACGAATGTGTCTGTATTGAGTTTCTTTGAAGTGACTTTAATTAGCAGAACAAATATTGACCATGCATCATTAAATTAAATGGGATTGCTCATAATTCTAAAGGCTTTTTTTCCAAGATTCAACTCAATTCGCACAGACTTTATAGTTCTCAATCAGGCGCGGGTCCAGCCATTTTGAAAAGGGGGTTCTAACCCCCGGAACACCATGAAACGTTCACATAATTAAAAAAAAATCGAAAAAAGGGGGTTCCGCCAACGCAAACGGATGCGAGCAGCTATAGTTATGTATGTCTGATTCTGGTTTACGATCTTATAGTAGAAATAAAATATTAGAATGCTGTCTCTCTTGTTATCTTAGAAGCAATGACCACACATTCATCTCTCAATTATTTTCTCAGTGCCATTCTATCACAAACCTTCAAATACCGGTATATGCATAATGTAAAAATTAATAAGATGGATGCTCTTCAACTTCGTAGTTTATTTGGCCTTTTCTACTTTTATAATTCGAGTGTCATTGATGAGTCTTTTGTATACAAAACGCGCGTCTGGCATACTAAATTATAATCCTGGAATCTTTGATGAGTTTATTTGCATAATAAGTCACGTGGAGTGCCAAATTCCTAGTTGTTACTTCCCTACATTCGTTTAACGGCAATGTTTTCATTTTCATCATTGGTGGAAAAGGTTACAATTTCAAATCCTTAAATCCAACTAACCCGAATAATTCAGTACCTCCCCGTAATCTATGAGAAGCGAAATATAACGACTGAATTATTCGGGTTAAAAACCCACCATGATGATAAAATATATAAAGGCATGTCAAACAGTCCCTTTTCTACCCTCAGTTTCTCCAGAATCCGTGTGTTGCCGTTATAGTGTGTTTTGATGGATCACTTTAGTATCTGATAAAATCGGTTATATTTGAATTCCATTTGATAACGGCGCTAATCATGTCGATTTCACTCGTATTTTTGACATTCTAGATAACATTGACAAATATGGTTCACACGAAATCTGATTTCATTTCTGATGGTTTCAGAGATATTTGTTTGTTCATGACAAAAGACTTCATTAAAAGTTAAATCGATTATATATTGTCTACGGTTATAGAGTACTGTTCAATTAATTGCAGGTTGCATTTACAATTGCAATTGCAAATTATAGCTTTTAACAACTACAAAACAGTTCAACGAGTAGAATTTTTTTCACTGTTGTATATAAAAAAAATTATGACAATTGTTTATTCATAAGAGGAAAAAAGTATATTTGTGTGTCTTTTTTGTTCGTGCTATAATGCCGATATTATTGGATAAAGTGCTTTTATCGCATTGAGGTAAACCCACTATAAAGTATCTTTTGATATAAAGTATTACTTTCCTTTTGGTAAATATTTTAATAAAATTGAGAATGGAAATGGGGAATGTGTCAAAGAGACAACAACCCGACCATAGAGCAGACAACAGCCGAAGGCCACCAATGGATCTTCAATGCAGCGAGAAACTCCCGTACCCGGAGGCGTCCTTCAGCTGGCCCCTAAACAAATAAGTATACTAGTTCAGTGATAATGGACGTCATACTAAACTCCAAATTATATACAGGAAACTAAAATTAAAAATGATACAAGACTAACAAAGGCCAGAGGCTCCTGACTTGGGACAGGCGCAAAAATGCGGCGGGGTTAAACATGTTTTTTGAGATCTCAACCCTCCCCCTATACCTATAGCCAATGTAGAAAAAACAAACGCACAACAGTACGCACAGTAAAACTCAGTATAAGAGAAGTCCGAGTCCGATGTCAGAAAAGGAAACAAAAGAAAATAAACAAAATGACAATAATACATAAATAACAACAGACTACTAGCAGTTACTGACATGCCAGCCCCAGACCTCAATTAAACTGATTGAAAGATTATGTCTTCATCATATGAATATCAGGCACAATCCCTCCTGTGTTAGGGGTTTAGTATTATACCGTCATAAAATTTTAAACTTTGAAAGATATTGTAGAAAACCTGGTATCAAATGACAGCGGATTGACTTAGTTTTCTATTACTCCTATTAAATAATTGGCATCCTGTGTATGCGAATAGTTGAAATTTATGCTGAAATCAACTGTTTCAACTTCTTTAACTCTCTTGGAACTATTTGTCTTTTAGTGAAATTAAAAGCAAGCTGATTTTAGGACTACCTCGGAAAATGATTATATCGTGTCTTTATAATTTTCTTGAGTTCGTAGCGATTTGCGGATTTATCTTCATGAGGAACGCTCCAACCCCAAAACGATTGTAAGCCAAGTATGCATAAAAAACTTACGTACGTACGTAAAGAGCTATAGATAACAAAAAGACTATCTGCTTATTGTAATTCCGATCTTTAATGATATATGACAATGATGTAGAAGCGGATTTAGGGGGAGGGGGCAGGGGGCCCGGGCCCCCCTTATGGAGCTAAATATATGATAAATGCATATACTTTTTACAAGCATCAGTCCAAACGTTGGCTAACTACGGCCCTCCTCCTTTTTTTCAAAATCCTGGATCCGCACCTGTGATGTTCAAGATGCCTTGTACTAATTTAAAAAAACTTCTTAGTTTATAAAATGAATAATTACCCCTAGAAAAACGTTCAATATAAGCTCCATGAAGAGCGCCCTTCTTTTCCAAGTCTTCTCTAAGCTTGACGACGTCGGCCGACGATAGGTGGTCGAATAACCTATCTGTCAAATCCATGTAATAAAATCTTTCAGATCCATAAGACTTCGGATTTTCTGCTTTGGCATCGTAAATGGTCATGTATATTCCAACTTCACCTGAAAAAAAAACATGTTTAAGACTCTTAATGGTACTAGTTGCTTTGTCGTAAGAGGAAAGAAATAATCCTAAATTGGCTCAAACTTTACATCTATAGAAAGGTGATGTCAAAGTCGACTTTCAATTGATATCAAATCCTAGATCTGGATTGCCATCGAACTCAGAGCAAAATAATAAATATTGTCTATGGTCAAAGCCATAGGGTTTGTCTATATCATTTAGTTTTCGTCTAATCACTGATTGGAAAAATAAAAAAATAAGGAGATGTGCCACGGCATGATTGCCCATGAGACAACTATCTACTAAAGTTCAAATGAAGAGGATGTAAGCAATTATAGGCATGAAACCGTACGGCCTTCAACAATGAGAAAAACCCATTCCATATAGTCGGCTATAAAGGCCCCGAAATGAAAAATATGAAACAATTGAATTTAAAAAATTAACAGCCTAATTTATAATAAAACAATTTACGACAAACAAATATAACAGATATAAAAAAAAGGGCTACCCACATTTCAAAATTGAGATTATCAAAAGCAGTATAAACTAATTGAAATATGCCCATATAGTAGGGTGGTGACGGTGGTGGTTCGACAAACTGAGATCTTCATCGCCAGGATAGTGATTTGTCAGCGTGTTAATTCTAAAGTAATCATGCCTTCTATATATATATTTGTTATTTGGTTGTGAAAATGAAAAGTTTTAAAGATATTTCTTGTTAAGATATAATATTAAAAAAAGTTTTTTTTTCAACAATAAAATTGAAAATATTAACAACAATATTCTTCTTTGATGAAACAAAAAATCACTAAACAAATGTAAAAAGTGAAGAAAGTCAATATTTTTTGTAAATTTTTAGGTCGATTAGAAATAGAATGTGTCACTTTAAAATTCTATCAACCAGGATAATATATTATTCATTTTGCCACAAAATAAATAGTATATACATCAAATATCGGGTAACAAGATGACACATCTTAGAACATTAAAATAATTTGAAATTTAAAAATGACTGACAATTTATTTGCTGAAAGATCTCAGTCAGATCTTTAAACTTGGCGATTGTATCGGTTTGAAATACCCCAATACAATTCTTAATTATGTTTATATTTTGATATATCGCATTGTACTCTGTAAATTACAAATTGACTTTTGTATTGCCACATCTTGTGCAAACTTGTTTTCCTTTTAAAAGTAATTCTTATTTAACGTTTTTAAAAGTTAGCAATTAACCTATAGATAACCTGTTATTATAGGTTTTGTAATTAGTTAAGATTGAAGAATAAGAAACAGACACACCCTACCCATGGGTTTTAAATGTAGGCGACAACGAAGGATTATAGTCACAAGGCTATACATACATCGGTTGATTGATTGGTTGTTACTTGTTTAACGTTCAGTGGCAAATATTTCAAGTATATTCAGGAGGGTGTGGATGGGGGTTTACAGAATAGAGAAAAATGGACCAAAAAAATTAAAGAATAGAGAATAACGAGGTGCTAAAATATAAAGAATATAGACAATAATGGGCAACAAGTATAACGAATAAAGAAAATGGAGGACCCCTCCCATACCCTCATTCAGGACGAGCACAAATAATCAATATAGAGCAATTAGTATGTTCTGCAAGGTATCCGGACAACCAGGACGAAAGAGGGGGGAAATTGGACTGCCACTGGAAATAAGGATATGCTGGATAGGGGCAGTAATTGTGTCTTGCAAAGTCCACCTACTGACGGCTATACTTAGTCCTTTCTAATTTTTCGGTTGAAATATTTAAATGAAATTATTTCTTTTTATTCAGGAAGTACTTAAGCAATCGCTTCGCCGGGAAGCATTACATTTTCATTTAGTATGCTTTAGATAATTTTGGTTAAAACTATCATCAGAAGAAAACACTTTTGTTGAAATGTACTGGAATGAATTCATTCCATTCATATAATGACGTATTATATATAAGTCTCTGGATAGGGGTCCTTCATTTCTATATTCTTTAATTTTTTAGACATCTTTCTCTATTCTTTATACTTTTTGCTCATTATTATCTATTCTTTATATTTTAGCACCCCATTATTCTCTATTCTTTATAACTAAGCACCTAATTAGTCTCTATTCTTTATATTTTAGCACCTCATTATTCTCTATTCTTTATTTTTTGGTACATTTTTCTCTATTCATTATATTTTTTGCCCATTATTCTCTATTCTGTAAACCCCCATCCTCACCCTCGTATATAGCCCCAATTGACCCATAATTGTTGGGTTGTAAAGTTTTTGAAGTTTGTAAGCTTCAATACTTATATTAAACATGGAAATTTAATCTCACTTCGACATGCATGCACCTTTATAACAATTGCACTTTGAATATAAATACTTTAAGTTGCATGTTCAAGATGTATCCAATTTGTAATTACATGTCACGGTAGACATATACTAAAATCCTTTAAATTACATTATAGTAATGAAAAGCCTGTCATATCCAACCGTTACCGGAATGAATAAACACTTTGATTTTATGTATAGAATCTTTATTGACTTTAAATGGCCTATTACACCAAAACAAGACTATTAAATTTATAAAAAGTTTTAACAAATTTTGAAAACAAATGAAGCGTAAGGGTTAAAATACTTCAATTACTAAAATTGAAGAATACTTTTTACTTAAACTTTTTCATAATGTTAAATAGAAAATATTGGTTTAAAGACTTAAAAACAGGTTTGGATCGTGCACTTAGTCTTGTCAAAAACATGAGACACTAAATACACTTGTCAAGTTAACCAGTGCAAAATACCAAGCTATGAAAAATAGCATCAATGAAAGCTTAACACTAAACAGAAAAAATAAAAATATAAAAACAATGAATTGTATTAAAGACAAATTCCCGGCATATATGTTACAGTGAATTTGTAAAATTATGGATTTTGTAAAATCCCTGAAATTTCAGGAATTTTGTATAATCACTAAATTGATAAGAGAATTTATAAAACAACTGAAATAATTGAGAACCAGCTACAGATTCACTAGTTTAATTTATGGAATTTAGAAAGAAAAAATGATATTATTTTTCACTAACACTTTGGTTGCTACGTATCTGGACTTGTTATCCAAAGATTTTATCTAAAACTAAATCTCTTGAGAATGAGGGAAACATTATCAAAGTGTATCAAAATCTAAATGCTAGTAAGATGTGGTCGTTTTAGTCTGTAATAGTAATAAAGACGAAAAAAGAAAGAAGAAATCTGGACCAAAATAGTAGCTGTTGGACGTGCATTCTAATAGACACGTCATCATTGAGAAAAAAAAAATATATCAATCTTGACAAATTTTCCTCTGGTCACAAATACTATTGTTAAAGCCAATCTTTATGATTCAAATTGCATGGAAGCACGCAAATCACTGCGCATATAGCAAATGATAAGATATATATATCAAACAATTTTCAATATTTTAAACAAGCATTTAAAAAGTGATCTTGATCAAAAGTCAAAGTATGTTAAAATATAAATTGTGTTTTATTGTACATGTATGTATTAAGATCTTCAATGTGGGGATGTGAAAAATAAATTAATTATAAATTCCTGTCTGTATGGTTTTTTTTATATGATTCGTGTCTTATTGTAAAACAGTTTAACTGTCTGTCATTTGTGTTTGACAAGGTTGTTATCCAAACATGTAAAGATGTGGTTGTTCTGGAAACAGAAACTGTAGACAAAATAGGCCTTGACCTAACGTGGGCAGGGTAACAGAAGACGTCATCTAAACTATACCATGCAAAAAATAGTTACGGTAATTTGTACTCCTTGGCTTTATCTAAGATATTTGTTTCTTTATCCCAGAAATTTCATTTTTGGGGAATAGTGTGTAATGGTAAGAAATAGAGGCTAGAATAGCTAGGGCAATTTTGTTTTGACGATTTTATGTCGAAAACTAAATTTTTGCAAATCCAGAGCTGGCGGGAGAGTATGCCCTCTTCGCCGCTATCTGAATCCACCACTGAACTATGCCAAAGGGCAGACAAGACTACTAAAAAAAAACACCACAAAAACAACAACGTCAACAACCCCAAAAGTGAAGGCTGTGCTTATAAAATAAATCTCTTTGTGTTGCCTATACCAAGTCAAGAATATGACAGTTGTTTTCCATTCGTTTGATCTTTTGATTTTGCCATTTGATAAGGGACTTTCCGTTTTGAATTTTCCTTGAAGTTCGGTATTTTTGTTATTTTACTTTTTGCTGTACTATATTAACTATTAGACTGGAAATGCTATGTCGTAAATCAAATGGCAGACAAGACAATGACATACACTTCACATAAAACGCCATTGCCTCTGAGTGAAGACCGTGTTTAAGAAAAAAGTAGATGTAGGGTATACTACAATGAGACATTGACCCAACGTCACAAAAATAAAAAATAAAAAAACCTTCCAGCTGCGGATCCTGGAAAATGAAAAAGGGGCCCGGAGCCCCAAAACCAGTCAACGTTTGGATTGGGACATGTGAAAAAGTCTATGTATACATTGACCATAAATGTAGATCCATAAGGGGTGCCTGGGCCCCTGCCCCGCCCCCTAATCCGCCTCTGCCTTCGCAGTGATATCTTCTACGTAAATGAAATAATTGTTACCTTCCTGTCTGTTAAAGAACGGTAAAGATGCATCGTCTTCCTCTTTTTCCCAACTTTCCATCTTTTTCTCCGGTTTCTGTAACTTCCTAGAAAGACACGTATCCATTTTGTTTAACGGTCACTAAAGCCAATAACATAAAATATTGCCTCTTGTCTACAATGTAGTAATTCACTAACACAACAAACGGTTATTAATCACTGTCTCGTTTCTCAGTCCTAAAATAAGTTCATTTAAATGTTCCTATACACTGAGGGTTGCGGAACTTTATACGAATTGAAATCAAATATGGGGAATTATATTTTAGGAAAACGCCTCTTTATCGGAATATAAATGGATTCGCTCTCCCGTTTCGACATTTAATCAGCTGATTGTTTGATTTCAGTCTAAGATTAGTGTAGACTTTCAGTTCTATTTCTCGTCTATTGTTTTTGTAGATTTTTTATAGTCTATTTGCGTTCAAAGGTTTTCAGTACTAGTATGTGTTTACATGCTTGTATGGGTTTTACTCATTGTTGAAGGTCGTACAGTGACCTATAGTTGTTAAATTCTGTGTCATTTGGTCTCTTGTGGAGAGTTGTCATTAACAATCATACCACATCTTCTTATTTTTATATATATGATTTTTTTTATTTATTCACCTGTAAAATCGCTTTTTTTCTTACTAATATATTAGTCCGCTGTGGCAAATCTTTATAAAAAGTATCTTCAGTGGTACAAATCTATGCCGTTATCTATATGTATAAATTATATTCCATGTTCAAGTTATATGAACTATAGCTGTGCATTTTCCGTTCAAGAATAGATTGATTTTTTTTAAATAATGTGCTGTAGAAAAATTGTTTCCTGGTAATATTTTTCCATTTCCATTATTAACTATAATGAGTTTTTAAGTCCCAAACAGATACAAATAGTTTTAAAAGAATCCGGTTCTGAGAAGCAAACATCAATAATTCAGGGATAAAGAAATCAGCTTTGAAAAGTATTAAAAGAAAACAACTTAATATTTATCGAACTATATTTAAATACTTTTGTAAATATAAGACGTAAACTAGGCTGAGATATATATCCATAAAGATCGATTTAAGATTAAAATCTATCATAGTTTGGTATCTGTCTATGTTGGATTTTAAAATTTACATACATCGCGTTCAAAATTACCATTGAAAGTCGTCCATTTTACTAATTTTCTCCGATCAGTCATGCAATCAATCTCCGGCGCAGAGCTCACATCCGTTCCGTACTTACTTCGTATCACTACACTGGATATGACATTGTATTTGTAGTGTAGTGTACTGAGTATACAGAACGGAAACGAGCGCAGTACGGAGATTGTCATGCACTTATGAATTACTGGCGTACAAAAACAACTAGATGACTCTTTCAACGGTCACGATCGATCGAGAGTAAAATCTTTTGTTTTTACATTACAGTTAATCAAATGACGAAGTTTCAATGGCATTTTTGAGACCGGTGTATATGACATGTATGATATTTTTTCATTCGTATCAAATCTGCTTTAATATTCATTGATCGTTAATTGCTAGAAGTAAAATGTCAGCGGAGATAATGAAATTGTTATGTATCTGTTTAAAACCATTAGATATGCATATAGATTATCATTTGTGTTGAAGTGCAATTCATTTATTTAACACATTTTTGAACTTAGTCCAATGTTTTAAATCAAAGGTGTCTGTGATACTTTCACGTTTGAGAAAGTTAGTGATTCGCAGACTCAAATCATATCAGTGACGTCTTTAAATTGACTTATTTGAAATATTTAAATTTTCCATTTAAAGTATTTTCGCCACGGTCCCTTTGCAAATGTATATATTTTTGGTATAATAAAATAACGAATTAAAAACACGTTTATCAACTCACGTTTAATGATCTACATATTTGTGCTCTTCGTTTAAATTCAATTTTCAAATTCATAACTCTTAACATCATCGTTTTTTTGGGTTTTTTTTTGCCAGCTCCCGAACTTAAAACATTCGTTTTGCATATATCACAAGAACTTAAACATATACAATAGAGTAAAATTAGGTATGAAATAACTTAAGAAATCGTCGGACCTTTATTTTGGACATAACGGATTAAAATTTGAGAGCGTACCACGAAAATAAAACAATATAGCATATAATGTAACGAAGTTCCAATCCAATACATATACTCTAATTCACCTCACTTCAGCTGCATTACTTTTGATATTTATTTTAAACTATTGCATTTATGTGTCCCATTTGACATTGAATAAATTGATTACACTCCTAATATCAACAAAAACAATACATAGTTTACAAAATCTGAAAAACTAAGTGAAATTGAAAAAAAATACAAGAAAATGAGATAAGAAGAAAATGCATTATTTTGTGAATTTTGCCAGTTGTCTAACTTCTTCATATTTTAATCAATAAAACGATTTAGCTAAAATTTGTCAGTAAAGATTTAAACATAATGTATATATGTACAAACTTACTATCTATCTAGTGGTGAATTAAAAATGTCCTCTCAAATACTCTGCTAGATTTAAAACAAACTTCTGAATCAATGTGATAAGAATTTGCATCAACTTATTTTAAATATCGAATCTAAATCACGTGACCAACGGAACATCTTTTAAAGACCAAGAATTTTTACTCAATTAAATAAACAATTATCGTATTTGTTTATATATTTTACCTAACATAGAATTCAGTTCATTAAACAAAGCTAAATTAAACATTACACCACCATAACCTTTAAAAGGAGTGTAAAATATCAGAATTTTGATCTTTTTTAATTGTTTTTCGGAAGAAAATTAATCATCAGAATGAATACAGTAACACGTACTTGAACAACGTTGCGTTATATAACACAAAAGTCTGGTCTTTTATGAGAAGTTCTGTTTCATGGGTGGTACAAATCTATCAATAGACAGGAAGTATATTTACTGTAATGGAGACTTATGATCATGAGCCTTACGTGTGATGTGGGGGAATTACTGAGGTTCAACAAGCGAAGTCGGGGCCGAACCCAAGCACTCTGATCTAGAACTATTATTGACACGATCAGTGCAAAGAATACACCCGTTATAACGCAGTCTCTGAATTATACGGTGAGTTCTGTCCTAACTTTTTTTTAAATCATGAATAATTTGGGAAAATATGACAAGGGCATCGTATATAAACTGTTTAAATTGCAAAATTGCTTTGGTATGAGCAAGAAAGAATCAAATTATAAGGATATTTTAATGATAATGTCGCTGCTCGAAAATAATAGAGTTGTGAGATGTCCATTCATGAAGAGCCTGTGGTATTAACAACAAAATTCACGACAGTTAAGATATAAAAGACTGTAATATTTTTCTGTCTATGAAGAAATAACATCAAAAACGTGGTGCACACTGAATAACCCGCGTTATTTCGAAAGGACAGAAACAATATTACAGTCATTCCTTATAATTTAATTCTAAATTTCGTTTTTAAGGAGTAAATCATGAAAAAAAAAGGTTGATGACGTCACGGTCACATAATCTGATAGACAAAAAACTTTCAGCCATGCAATCAGAAGTCGTGTTTCATTCAAAATTAAATGACTGTATGTTTATATAATGAATACATAATTTACTGGAGTTGAGTTGCAACCTATCTCTTATAAAAAGAGGCGGAAGATACAAAGGGGACGTAATCGCATTTGTTCATGATAAGACTTCAAAAATGACACTGGAAACCCCATTTAAAAGTTGTTGACAGAGTTTTTTTCACATGCTAAAATATGACAATCTAAAAGTGCGGCCGCAAAACAAACAAAAGAACATAAAAATGTATTTGTTTAACTTTTGGGGGGACAAATACAGGAAACACATATATAGTCATCATCATGAAAGAATGATTGTACCTACAGAAATCAAAACTCGCACAATTCGCAGTACAGCGCTTTAAACAATGTTGATTTCAATATACAACCCAAGTGCGCAAAACATAGACATTTGGTAAGAGTTTCCATCACATTTAGACCTAGCTAGGCCACTTACAACTTAGATGCAATGTTCCGCAAAATAAATAATTAAGTCTATAATAGTACGTACTAGTTACAACAAACATAATTATAGAAGATCTTTCTTTGGTCTAAAAATAGAATTGGTATGTTTTTTGGATCTAGATATAAAATTGGTTTTTGGTTCTTTTAAGTTATATATGTCGACAACTGCTTCGGTTCTTATACATCCTTGAAATTTACGCTTATTTTGACGTCATAAAAAGAGCGCTGTTACGCACAAATTTTCAAATGGACCCTTTTCCTAAGTGGTCATTATTTTATCAATTGATTGAGATTAAGATCATTGAAATCCTAATTTACTTTCGAATATTCGGCTTTGAGCGTTTTTGATGAAGGTAAATCCAGAAAAAGCGCTTCGGAAGCATGAAATTCATAAAGTGGAATTTAATTTTTCAGAGGGATTTGGCTATTAGTTTTAGGACCTTTTATGGCATACATGTCAACAACTGCTTCGGTTCTTATACATCCTTGACCTTCAAATATTCGGTTGTGATAAAGGTAAATCCTGAAAAGCGCTTCTGACGCATGACATTAATAAAGTGTTATTTTCATTTTTAAGTGTTGAAATTTTAGCCAGAATTAAGTATCATTTTGAGTCTCGCAGTACCTTTTCCTTTCCGAGGAACGCGATGTTTCATTAAAATAAAATATTTACTTACTAACTTATTTACTAGCTAACTAGCCACAACAGTCCTCTAGATCCACCAGTGCCTATTACAGACCGGAAAAATATAAGATATGTAATTTTTTCTAATCTCTACAAAAATACAATAGAATTATATGATTTATTGACTTACATAATGCGTACTGTCTTCCGACCTGCCATTACACGTTGTCCCGCCCTTTTCAACATTGTTGTCAATTATAACTTAAAGTTAAACTCAGTAAACAGAAATGTTCAAATGTTCAAAAAATACGAAAAGCCTAGATTTTTCTATGAACCTTCTCATATGTTGTGAAAGCACAAATAAATTTGCACTGCATATAAATAAAGTATATTAAAAGTGCAGTAGCGAACGAGTTGGAGACAGTTACGGATTAACATAATTCTTTTTGTGTCGCATTATTACATTTCATTATAGTTTAATCCAATTTTGAAAGATTTCGAAGGATTACGAGGGATTAACGTCCAATAATTTACAACATAATGATATCAAAATTATATCATTCTCGAATCATAATTAAACGTCAATAAAACACGTAGACCTGGAGACTACTTTATAT